CCTTTTTGCTTAAAGGATCTCTTTTTTTTTTTTTCCCTCGCTTTTTTTTTTCCCCTTTTTTATTTTTTTCCCTTTTTTTTCTTTCCACACGGCAAAGATGGGGTCTGATCAGAGGAGAGACGCAGGGAGCTGACAAGCTGCGGAGTACGGAGAGAAAGGAGAAAGAAATACATATTTATTACCCTCAATTATTAAAAAATAGATAGCAGCAGATCTTAGGCCCTGGCAGAGGCACTGCGGAGCCGTTTGTCTGAGGACTATTTTGTTTTTTAAATTCCATTGAAATTATAATATGCCGGGCTTGTTAGCACAAACACCCTGGCACATCCCTGCCGAGGGGGGATCATCCCAGCCCCTCTCCCAGCTCTGGTGTGCTACCCACAGGGCGGCCGTGTCCAGCACCCCACGGGCTGCTGAATTTGCAGGCAGCGAGGAGGCAGGGCAGCCTGGGGGGAGCAGGAGCTGGCAGCAGCAGGCAGGGGATGCAGCCAGCAGCCTTTGTCCCCCTCTGCCTTCACACTGGGGGACCAGAGGGGCTCTGATCTGTTCAAGTGCATCCCAATGCCCAGATGCTCATTGACGCCCAGCCGGGCAAAGGTCTTGTGGACAAGGGCTCATCCAGGCCACCACGGGCTCATTCATGGCCAGAAAGCCACTGGGATATTCCCCATGCTTTGCACCTCTTGATGGCACCGTGGGGGTCCCGTGGCCAAGGGGCTGGGGTTTCCCCAAGCAAACCAGTGGAAACGCCGGTACAAACACAGCTGGGGAAAAAAAAAAAAACAACGGTTCCCAAGTGCGGCACACAGGGCTGGCAGAGCCGCTGGCACCTCCCCTCCGCTTGCAGGGCTGCCTCCATAAGGAGCCCTGCCAGCGCAGCAGCCAAATTCCCTCCTGCTGCTGCTCCCCAGTAAACAACGGCCACAGCCTCCCCGTGTGATGGTGGTGCTGGGACTTGGGGTGCACATGGAGCTTCTCCGTTGCCCCCCGTCTCCAGCGCTACACTCTCCCCATGGCCAGGCACTGTTGGAATGTGATGGACCACCACGGACCCCCAGCCTACTGTGCCATCACTGCTCCGGGGCCAAAACCTGCCGCTGTCCCATCCCAGCGGCCACAAGCTGGGCAGAGAGACGGGGCCCTGAGCGCAGCCAGCTTTCGGTGCTGGGAGTCACCGGGGCGGTCACGGCACTACCAGCCTGGGCATCACAAAAAAGCTGCTCACCAAAGCTGGGCTGACTCCAGGCTGCCGTGCCCGCTCCGAGCCGCTGTGCCAGCACCGCCGGGAAGCAAGCAGCCGGCGGGCACATGTGCTGTTAAAGAGGAAAAGGAGCTTTCTGCACCAAATGGAGCATTTTCTACTTAATAACCCCCCAATCCTAATCTGCGCAAAGAAGATTGCCCCCTGCATCTCCCCGTCCTGCATCTGCCACTTGCTGCTGGCCGCACTTAACACGCAGGCAGACCCACGGCTGCCCGATCGGCACGTGCCCTGCCCTCGGCAAAACGGGCAGGAGAAAGCCCAGCTGCTGGGGAGGGCAGGTGATGCCCAGTGCTGGGCGCAGGCGTCTCCTCCATCAGCGCCGAGCCTCCATCATTTGTCATCAGTAAAAATAATATTCCTAAAAGTGTCCCCCCTGATTGTCGGGCGGCAGGCACAGGGCTGTGGGTTTCCATGGCGATGCCGTTCCATAGAGATGGTACGGGGGATCGGTGCTTCCTCAGTTTGGGAGATGGGACGTGGCACCCACGTTGGAGCGGGGATGGCACCAGCTGTGCTGTTGGCAGAGGGACCTGAGGCCAAACCAGCTCATCACCCCTTGGGCTTGGGCAGCATCCCCCCAAATAGCGGTGAAGGAGCACCCTCACCGGAGAGGACGAGGATGTTGCTGCATCCCAGTGGTGCCCCGGGGGCCGTGCCCTGCACCCCTGCCCACGCCAGCACACAGACCCCCCAGCTCCTCCTCACTGACTCCCACCAGCGTCCTGCTTGCTCCCAGCCCCACGGGTCTCCCTGCATCCTTCCAGCCCCCCACTTGTTGCTTCTGCTCTTAAATCAAACACCAGCCTCCTTTGGTGGGTGCCCAGTCAGGGCAGCACCTCATCTGTCCCAACCTTCTAGAAACCCAACCAACAGTCACCATTGCCTGGGTGTTGGTGCCTCGCCTGCCTGCCGCTGCCTGCCGCTCCACCAAAGTGCTTTTTAAAGACATAATCTGCTGTTAATAACCAGAGTTTATACCGAACGAAGCTAAGCCCTGGGATCCCACTTTGCAAACAAAGCCGGAGTTTTCAGCTCTTTGGGGGCAGCTGGAGCAGCTCCCCGGGGTGGGGACGGGGAGCGACATCACCCAGGGGTGCCCCGCTGTGGGGCAGGGTGGGATGGGTGGCTGTCCCCAGGGATGTGGGGCTGAAGCAGCCGTGTCCTGGGTCACTCCTCTGCAACAGGGGAGGAGCAGGGGGGGTTGCCACCACACTGCTTCGGGGCTGGTCAGGAGCTGGGAACACCCCAAAGTGTGGGTGGCCCTGGCCCTACCCAACCACCGCCATGTCCCTCCAGGCTCCCACGCCTCCCTGCCTGCTTTTTGCTTCCAAAGAGGGTTTTGGCTGCCAAAACCCATCAGCGCTCTGGCTGTTTTCAGAGTCCCTGCCCAGCCTCGAGGCAACAACATCCCACTCGAGGCCTCATCCTGCACACCACGGGGACCCACTGCCTGCAGCTCTGGATCCTGTGCCGCTGGCTCCAGCATCGACGGGTGCCTTGGGGAAAGGTGGGTGTGAAATCACACCGGAAAATGCATATTTTTACATTTCCCCAGCAGGTTCACTGATGTTTTTAGGGCAGTGCTTTGAGGCCACCTGGAGTGTCACCCAGAGCCTCGAGCACCTGGATGGGACCATGGGGCACGGGGTGTGACACTTTAGGTAGAAAGTGGGAATAACATTTAGCAGAGTGTGGCCACGGCTCTGACCCTGCCAGGCTCCAGCAGCGCAGGTCACCGAGTGGTGACGGCTCCTTCGCATCCCAGCTCCAGCTCCAGCCCCGGGCAGCTCTTGCCTGCCCAAGCCCTCCTCGTTCCCCCACAGCACCGCCGCAGGGACAGCCTGGGCCACATCCTGACACACCCCCCCACCCCCAGCCACCTCCCCCCCTTACTTCACCAGGCACAGAGAGCTTGTGGCTTCCTCTCAGCTCTTTAGGAAATTAAACTTTTATAAGCAGAAAGGTTTCTGGGCTCTCAGCTCCCCGGCGCAGGAACCGCAGCCCAGCCTGTGCCCGCACCCTGCCCGTCGGCTGCTCCGCTGCAGGGACAGACGGGGCCTGGACGCCCCGTCGATGGGCTGAGCGATGGCTGGGACAGGGATGAGGCTGCCCGTGACCTTGGTGTCATCCTTGACCTGGAAATCTCCTTCTCCTGCGTCGCCAGCGTTGCACTCCTGCCTGCGGCCACCTCCGGCAAAGTGCAGAGCGCTGCGCCAGCCCTGCCGACACCCTCACCCAGGCTGGAGCTGCACCTCATGCTGTCACCCACTTCCACACCACTTATGACGTCCCAGCACCCAAAATCCACCCTGAATCCCACCGGGGCTGCTCAGTGCCTTGGTGGCTGGAGCTCACAGGGTGCAGGAGGCCCAAAATGCCCCCAGGCATCGTGATGCTGCCCCGGTCATGCGGCCGCTGCCTGTCCTGCCGCAAACGCCTTTGCCCCACGTGGCACCGCGTGCGAAGCCCTCTCCCATCTCCCACCCTGTGAGCGGGCACATGGAGCTGCTTCCCCTGGGAATGTCACCCACAGCTCAGCTCCCACCACCTCAAGCCCTGCCATGTCCCCCAGCCCCAAGCCCAACCCCGGTCCCCAGCAGCGGGACGGGGAAGGCGGTGGCGGTGCCACCATCAGCCTGCGCCGCCTCCCACCAGCACAGCCTTGTGCTGCCACAGCCTTCAACAAAGCCAGCGGCCCCCGGGCCCCACCGAGGGGTTTGGCCCCAGCCCTGCACCCCTCCGGCAGGTCTCCCCCTCACCCCCCATGTGGGGTGCCCCTCCACACCCTGCTTGGGGCAAATGCTGGGGACCGGGACCCCCCACCCAGGGACACCGAGACGGGGAGGGGGGGAGAGTCTCTCGGCGGGATGGAGGCCTCCTCTAACTGCCTGTTGAATTATTCAGGAATGGCATTAACTTATAAATGAGTGTGTTTGACTGATTTTGTGGTTGATGTACAGATAAATTCTAATGAAAGACAGCTACAAGATTTTAAATTATTAATTAGACTGCCACTTAACAAAGCCTATTTGGCACTCTATTTCCTTGCTTAACAAGACAAAAACTTTAAGAATAGGTTTTGCATTAGCCCACAGGCTCTTCAATTTGCATTTTGTTTTTCTAGCTCCAGAAATGAAAGCTGTACATCTTGACCTTAAACAGGCTACCCCTGGTGGGATGCAACCCTGCCGGCAGCCTCGTCGCCTGACTCCACCTCGGGCACCCAGTTTCCCAGCCTGGATAATGCTTTTCCTTCAGCCACCAGCACCGGGGCTGGGAACCGGGACTGAGAACCGGGGCTGCTCCGAGGGCTCGGGGTTTATTCTCAAGACCGCAGCTCGACTGGGTTAATACGCCGAACAAAGCCGAGGCGAGAGCCGAAGAGAGAGGAACATCCGAACGCGAGGCCCCGCAGCCACAAGGTGACATTCCCCCCCGGTGGGAAAAAGCATCCCCGGGGTGACAGCAGGGGTTCTGCCCTTCCCGGGGGTCCGCACCCCGACACGGGGGGCTGCGGGGGGGCTGCGAACGCGGCGTTGGCACCTATTCCCGCTACCGGAGCCTCGCCGGAGAGGGGCATGCGGTGGTGGTGGC